AGATGATAGTACTGCTTTAAAACATTTACCGTATTTTCACGACTATAAGGCGCACTTAAACGTCTTTTTTTCCCCCTTAAAATGTGTTCCCTTTGGTGCGGTGCGCCCTATGTGTGTTGTAACTGTGACTTTTGAGACCACCTCATTGAGGAGATGATGAAAGATTGGCTGAATGTAAGGAGACCAGGTGTTTTTTTTTTCACTCATCACCATCGCTGATGTGAAAAACATGGGGAAACAAATTAACCCTGTGCTCGCTGTTATTCAACCGCTGGACATCGGTGTGAACCGGACCCAGCAGGTGCAGCAGAAGCAGCGAGTTTACATGCAAAGTCAATGGTTGACGCGCGTATAGACGCAGCAAAAGGTCCCGCAGCGCGTTTTGAGCAGCAGGCGCTGCGCGTCAGGAGCGTTTAAGCATCTGCCAACACGCTGCTGCTGCTCGATATGTAAAAATTGAAGTTTTGCTGCTGGAAGCTCCGCATCAACCAATCAGAGAAGCTGATCTGGGAGCTGACAGCGAGACAGACACATCGCTCTGATGACATATGATATTAAGGCAAATGAAAAAGGCTGGATGGATGAGGAGATGATGAAAGCGTGGCTGAGGCAGGTGTATGTGATGAGACCAGGTGGTTTTTTCCACGCATCACCATCGCTGTTAATCTGTGACTGCGTGCCCATCTCACAGCCGATGTGAAAAAAAAGGTGAATCAAATGAACGCTGTTATTCCGGGAGGTCTGACAAAGGAACTTCAACCGCTCGACGTCGGTGTGAACGGGCCGTTCAAAGTAAGGCTGCGAGCGGCGTGGGAGCGATGGATGACCGACGGAGACCACAGTTTCAGGATAAGTGGAAGGCAGCGCCGGGCAAGTTACGCCACCGTTTGCGGATGGATTGTAGATGCTTGGACTAAAGTGTCTGCTGGCTCTGTTGTTCAAGCTTTCGCAAAAGCCGGCATTATTTCTGAGGAGCCGCCCGGCACGGAACGTGACTCTGACAGCGAAGAAGGGGAAATTGGCATGTCTGATTTAGCGCAGCTGTTTAATTCAGAAACAGAGGATGATGACTTTGATGGGTTTGATTAATACTTTGTAATAAATACATTAATAAAGTACAATCATACTCAGTTTTGCTCCCGCTCTATTTTTCTACCTGAAAACTTAATTCAACAGCAGCCTCTGGGCGGGTCTACTCCTCTTCACCGCGGTGGCTGGCAGGTGTTTTTTCATCTAAATAATCTAAATCTTGCAGCTATATTTGCTGTGATCAGTGGGAATAAAGTAGTTTTAATATGTTTTTAAGTAAGAAAGGCCACCTGAAAACTTCATAATTGCAGTCAGTTCATCCAGATTATCTATTTCTGTCGGAGGCACTCAGACCCCCACATACCAGCGGTGCGCCAACAGTAGAAATCCTTTCATCAGCAGCCTCTAGGCCGGGCAGCCTCCGGGTTCACCGCGGCTGCTGGCAGGTGTTTTTCATCTAAATAATTTAAACTGCAGGCACCAGGATACCGGTAATAAAAGCGAACATATTCCGTCGGCAGGTTTCAGGATTTTAAGTTAATTTAGGAGTGATCACAGCGCTGTGTCATCTGCGATGTGTCTGTCTCACGGCCAGCTCCCAGGTTTGATTAATACTTTGTAATAAATACATGAATAAAGCACAGTCATACTCAGTTTTGGGCCCGCTGTATTTTAAAATACGCAGTAGAGCTATTTAAAGGTAGTAGAGGACATGTACCTGTATATAAAAAACGCGCCCTATAGTCCGGTGCGCCTTATGTGTGTGTTAAATACAGAAATGGTACACATAACTGAGACTGCGCCTTTTAGTACGGTGCGCCTTATGGTCGTGAAAATACGGTAACATGTAATCATGGAGGTGGGATATTATGATGTCCTTTTCCACAAATCCACACTTTGTTTCACATAAAATATGGATGCACAGTATTGGAATTTTGACAGATCTAGACCGTCTTATAGACACCATGTAGTGTTCTTCCTCCTGCCTCCCCTGTGCAGATATTGCTAATAGTCTTTTGGTCTTTTGTTTCTGAAACTCTAACATGAACACTACCAAGAGCATGTCTTCTGTGAGAGACTTGTACATCAGTTGTGTGCATGAAGAACTAGATAGATCCATTTAGAACACATGATGGAAATCTGACCTCCTCTTCGTTCAGCAGAGCATCTGGTTGGGCCAACCTCATCAGGCAGTCATAGACAGGAAGGACCAGTGCCCCCAGCGGCATGTTGTTCACCTGATAAAGGTTTACCAAGGCAAGAGTTCCGTGATGCAAAGCAGGAGCATAGAGGATTATATTAAAAAAGATAAAATGGCGCGAGGGCGAAATGTAGATATCTCCTACAGAAGTCCCATAGAAGCAGAGAAAACTGTTTGGGGTTCAAACCTTGAGGTAGTCGAAAATGTTGCAGATGAACGTGACGTAGCAAACCCACTCCTGCAGCGAACGTTTCCTCGTCTCCTCGCGTTCCTTGAACTCCTGCTGCAGGCGGTTCAGCAGGTGTTTCCTAAACACAGTTCCATTGTTTTGCTTGGCCTCGCCCTAGGAGGGAAAAAAGAACCAAGGGATATTAAATAGTGCCTTGCAAAGTAATCACACCGATTGAATTCATACATGTATTCTGAGATTACCACCATTTTTCCCCCCAGATATATTTCTCATTCTAAATAAATTACTGCAATAGGGGAAAATTTTGAAAATATTCCCTCTGAACAAGGCCTGGGCAAATAATCGAGCCAATTAATTATTCTGAATATTTTGTTGCGGGCAAAAAAAAAAAGAAAATCTATTTTCTGCATAACACCACATTGTTGTCTCCCTGGGGCTTCCGTAGCTGGAGTATTACTATCGCTTAAAGATCAGGAAGTCTAAGCTTTATTTGCCAAATTCTGATTTAATATGCTGCTATACCTTTATTAATTGTGCTTTGGTGTTTATGGTGTCCATAAAATGAACTTGGCGGTTGAATTGTGGAGAATTTAAGCTTTCTAAGGATGTATAACATGTCTATATTGGTAAACCTTTCACTGGCATTTTTCCAGGCGTACTGCTGTGTTTACTGTAAATATGCACAATGGAGCAGCAGAGATTAGGTAAATGTTAAGAGGTTAATAGGTAGGGCGGTAAATCGGGAAAAAAAATGGTAATTCGTGTTAGAAATAAAAAAATCTGAGCTTTTATTTTTAGGCCGTATTGCCAAAGCCTACCCTGAACCAATACTTTTATCTTTGAATTCTATTACTGATTAGATGCTCTAATTAATGAGCATTTAATCAGTTCACCCACCTAAAGCAATGTCTTGGCAGAGTTGCATTTGCGCCACTGCTCAGAAACTTCTACTAATTGATCCTTGTTTCCTTGTTATAATGACATCATGCTTTGTGTCAATCTTTAACATAAGATCTCATCAGATTTACTAAATGTTTTGGTCATAACGTGAATATGTGCTGTGAATAGCTTAGAAGAAGGGACAAAAGATTATATACGGAAAAAACCAGCAGTGAGTGACTGAACGGACCTGCACAATGGTGTAGCAAATGCGGCCAGCCTCCTTGCTGAAAAAGGGATCTTTTAAAGATTGGTCCACAAGAATGTTGGATACTTTCTCCAGGTCCACAGAACTTGGATCTGAATAAAAAAAAAAAAAAGAAAAAAAAAAAAAAACACAAACAGAAAAGCTTTGTAAGTTCAAAAATATTTATGAAATAATTTTACATTAACAAAGAAAAATAAATGTTTACCTTTCAAGGCTGTTTTTAGCAGTTTCTGTGTATCCACATCAAATGACTGGATCCTGTAGTCTTCACTGGAGTTTTCCATTATAGATGGTTATGTGGAAAAATACACCTGGGAGCTTTCACTCTGTAAATATGAGACATGGTTCATGCAACAGGTCTTAGAAAAGCGGACACAAAGCAAGTCTTTCATAGACAGCAAACCCGGGGACAACAAAACATTAGATCCCGCAGAGTCATCAAACTGGCTGCTCCACTCAGATTACTCACTATAGCAGGGATTTAAGCGATTTCCTATCAGCTGGAAGTGGTATTTATTCAGGACATAGGCAACATTATTATTTTTTTTTTTAAGGAGCTAAAAAAAAACATACACAAACGGGTAAAGAACGTTATCTGGGCTTAAGGGTATAATTTCAGCACGACAGATTTTTATCGACTATTATCGAAGCGATAAAAACGGCTGTTTTCTCACTGATAAACTCTTTGCTAGCCATAGTGTTTCGGGTGTGCTTCGCCTTGCTATCGTCAAGAAATGGATTTAGGTGTACTGAAACGCTAAGACCGGGACTGCATCGAACTGTTGCGATAATTCACCACATGAAATTGAACAGTTTAACAAAAAATATACCTTTTTATCGCTTCTAGGCTGACCATACCACCTGAGTGAAGAAGAGACTTCCAGCGACACAGATCATCGAAGATCAACTACTATCGACAAGATGAGTCTCTGTCGCTTCTTCCGAGTTTACGCTGCATTGTCTTTTCTTCTTCTTCTTGGATTGGCGGTTGGCAACAAATATTTAGTAGCATTTAATTAGCATTTACAAAAACTAAATCCTCCTAATTATTGCTGTTATTAATAAATATTAAAATAAATATTGATAAGATTTTTTTTACTTTTTCCGCAGAATATTTATCAAATCAAATTTAACTTTCTCCTTATTTAGGTCTGTAACCAAATTCCTTCTTTCTTCTTCATACTTCTTACATCGTACTTTTGATTATCTTTTTTTAATTTATTACTGAAATTGGGCTTAAGATCAGTACTCTGGAAAACATGAATGTTATTTTGTTATTTTATTTCTTTAATTAAAACAGAACTGTTTTTAAAACCTGTACGGTTTCAAAGCGTCAAACGTTTCTTCTTCTAAAGATAGAGAACTTAACAAAAAAAAAAAAAAAAAAACAAAAAAAAAAAAACACGGTAGCTGAGTTTGGTGTGGGCTATGAGCCTCTTGTTTTAATTTATCTTTGAAATATGGCGCATGCGTTGTTTACTTTGCGGAAGTGCAATGTGTGGCTTGATGTTAGTCAAATGCAATTAGAGTGGAATTGGTTGTCCTGCTTGCCTGTCTGTTGTTGTATTAATGAATGACATTCAGTTTAAGGTAAATTACCGCATTTCTCATAGCTTCTGTCTTTTTTTCTTTTTCTTTGACCTAACCTGAACAGCTGCCTTGTAATTAGCATAGCTTAGCTCAATCCAAGTTTCCCCTCTCTGTCCTCCACAAACTGTCATACTTATTTTTTAAGTTTTTGGAGTATTTTAAATCATATAAGTGTATATCTCTCGGACAAAAACATGGATGATTTAATTTTCATTCAGAATCGTGCTCACATCTTTTATGCTCTTCCTAAGTTTTGTCAATAGTGCTGTAGAGACATGGTAGGATATGACCCCAGGGCTCAGAATGCAGCACCCTCCCCAAATGAGGCAGCCCTTGCTGGATCAGCTGCTGGGATGGTCAGCAGAGCCCTCATCAGCCCTTTTGATGTCATTAAAATAAGATTTCAGGTAATTACTGAAAAGTGTACTTCCTTTTTTAATATAACTGCTTCTTCCAGGTTGTGACAGTGAAGTGCTTGTACAATGTGCATCTTTTGATTAAATTCTAATGTTTAATAGGATCTTTTTATTTCCACAGCTGCAGATTGAGCGTGTGTCTTCACGAAGCCCTGAGGGGAAATATAGGGGAATATATCAGGCATTCAGAAGAATTTACTCTGAGGAAGGTCTCTCTGCTTTCTGGAAAGGTCATATTCCAGCACAGCTCCTGTCTATTTGCTACGGGGCCGTCCAGGTAAATACTTGGAATAGAAAACTGCTCATCAATATATACATTTTCCATAATGAAACTTCTAACCAGTTATTTGCTTGTGATTTGCAGTTTGTCAGTTTTGAGTTTCTGACTGAGTTGGTTCACAAGTCAACCCCTTATGACAGCCAGACTTCAGGAGTTCATTTTTTCTGTGGCGGCCTAGCAGCCTGTTCTGCTACCGTGGCCTGCCAGCCTCTGGATACGCTGAGGACGCGCTTTGCAGCTCAGGGAGAACCCAAGGTGGAATATTACTTAATGCTTGATTTTTAATCAGATTTTTTTTCTGTTTAGTTTAGAGTTTTGTTTAGGGCTGAAACAATCGATTATTGAAATAATTAAGCAATTTAGTGATCGATTATTGAAATAATTAAGCAATTTAGTAATCCATTTATCGTGTGGCGTATAGACTCTGTGCCTTTAGCTGACAGAGTGACCCATACAGAGCAGCAGTTATACCAAAATTCTATACAAATCCTATTAACATTTTGCATTTAAGATAAAAAGGTTTTTCGTCTGTCGATATCGATCCAGAACTCCTCAAGTGGAAAAGTTTTAGTTTCACATGGTTTAATTTCGCAAAAACTCTTAAGGAACCTTTGATATCCGATTATTAATCGATGAATAAAAAAAAATAATTGATAGATTAATCGATTTGCAAAATAATCGTTAGTTGCAGGCCTAATTTTGTTATACATGTTAGCTAGTGGCTGGAGACTAACTACAGCCTCTTTCAGTTCAAAGATCTTATACATCTAATTACAACATTAGATAAACAACATTTCTTTCGGCATCACTGTAAATTCTATTAAAAGATTAGCTTTTTTTTCTGTTTGGTATCAAAGTTTTATTTTGTCACCCTCCCATTTAGCGGTTCATATTGGTGTTTATGTTTGATTGCAAGCCCATATTTTCAGTCCTCCGCTGGGTTTTCTTTATTCTTGCAGTATGTAGTGATGTTAACCATGCATTTATTACCAGCAGAATGAAGGTCAAGGTTTCAAATGTGACGTTTTTTTTTAAAAACACCTCATTTGTCTCTCGTCGTCTCTAACGTTTTTGTGGTTTAAAGTCCAGTTAATGAATCACAAGAGATCAGATACATGACTGTTTCCATCACAGAAAACTGAGGGTCGATTTATTAGTTTCCAAGGCAGAAAACTTGAAACTTAAAACCTATTTCTGGTAAATTTGCATCTTCAATACATACTTAATCTATTCTTGTTTTTGCATTATTCAATTCATCCTGTTGTTAAATCTGAGCCCATTTGAACTCATTTTAATCCTGTAAATGTAACTAGATGATGCATTACTATACCATGATTTAAAACCCCCTCTCCTGCCTCCTCAGGTTTACGGTAACTTGCGGTATGCCGTGTCCACGATGTGGCGCACTGAGGGGCCACTGACGTTTTATCGTGGCCTGTCTCCAACTCTGCTGGCAGTGTTTCCTTATGCTGGACTGCAGTTCTTCTTCTACAATGTCTTTAAGCAGCTGTTGAGTCCTCCAGTTAAATCCAGAGACTCAGGAGGTTAGTGAAAAACCCACAGGATGTGTTTGGGTTTACCCCGCGACCATGGAAGGAGAGAAAACTGCTGAGATTTTGATTCATTTAAAAAAAGAAGGATTGGAATAACTTTTGGGGAAAAAGTTTCATTGTTGATAAAGGTTTTCCATAATTCTGTGCATTCATTTTAAAAAGAAAACTAATCATTAGGTGAAATAATAGTTTGTTGATCCATGATGTCATAATAAACAGTATTTCAAATCACTACTAGTAGGATATAGGAAGAAACTGCAAATGGATGTTTGTATTTTATTAATTTTTAATTTAAAAACAGGTTAAAATCTATGCATATTATTGGAAAGTTTAATAGAAGGTCAAACAGTGGCCAGAAACGTTGCATAGTAACAGAGATAGACACAACTTCGAAAGGATTTCAATGTCCAGCTGAGCTGATCTGCACTACTTATAGCTTTTATTTTGATGCACATATGCAAACCATTCATGTGTGTCCCTTGTTTTACAGGAAACCTGAGAAGCCTGGTCTGTGGCAGTGGAGCTGGAATGATCAGTAAAACCCTCACATACCCCTTTGATTTGTTCAAAAAAAGGCTGCAGGTGGGGGGCTTTGAGAAAGCCCGAGCTCACTTTGGAGAGGTAAGCTCCTATGCTGCATGTTTCTCCCTGATGCATGAAGTAACCCCAGCCTTGTGTGCGGGTGTTTTCACCTGTTTCTGCGTGCAGGTGCGGACCTACAGAGGCCTGATGGACTGCGCGGTTCAAATAGCCAAAGAGGAAGGTATCCGAGGGTTCTTCAAAGGCCTCTCTCCCAGCCTCCTGAAGGCGGCTCTGTCCACAGGCTTCACTTTTTTCTGGTATGAGTTCTTCCTCAACATCATGAAGAACACAAAGGAGAAACAGAGAACTGATGACCTCAGTGGTGGCCGAAAGGAGAGATGATGAAATAAAAAAAAAAATAAAGAAAATGAGGCAATCACGCACACTATAAATGCACTAATGCCTTGTTGCACTGAACACATTTCTCAACTGGCAAACAGACTCTGGATTTGGATTTTTATGGTGTTTACATATGTTAAAAGGGGAAAGTTAGTCATGTATATCATTGTATTTCTGTATCATTTGCTTTTTTGTGCAACCTTTATGTTTATGTTATGTCTGAGATGACACACTCACAGAAACTTTTCCCCCAAATTTTAAGATTTATGTAATGTTTTTACATAACAAACTCCTAATTTACTTTTTTTTTTCTTTTAGATCTTTTTAATACAAACCTATTATATAAACATTACATGATCAAAACTAATACTAAAGAGTTTATTTCAAATGCATAAAGTTTGTTTGTTTTAATTGTATAATAGTAAGGTTACCTTTATGGAATTGAAACAATAAACTTTATGTATTTGAATTAAAAACACTCAGTATAAATTCTGAGTAAGTTTATCATTATTAAATACATGTAAAATAATTAAGCTTTATTATTCAAAAATAGTGATTATGTAAGGTTTAGATAGTTTGTTAAAAATCAACTAAAAGAATTAAATGGGAATTTATGTAATTTACATAAATATTAAAATTTGGGTGATTTATTTCTCTCAGTGCAGAATGGCTGCAACCGCTTTACTGGGTCAACTATTGAAAGCAAGCAGAGTCGGTCATAAAGGGGCCATGTCTTTACTATGATCACTTTACCTTAAAATTCAATTAGTAATCAAAATCTGGGTCTTGTTACGTGTTTAGAACAGGGATTGGTATTTAGACAGAGTAATTCAGACTGGAGATAGATGGCTAGAGTGGGAGAATGAACAATATTCATGCAGAGTCAATCTATCAAACAATGAGCACAGGAACTAGAATCCCTGTTAGATATATCCGCCTGTATCTTCAGCTACTGATGAGACTGGTGCCACACTGTTTGGTACTCGCTCTTATAGAGGTTACTTCTGTCTTCTGTTTGGGTCATATGCTCCTGCGCTGCCACCACCTCCTAAAATTTGTCAGAGTGGCAACAGTGGGTCAGCTTCAGCACCCCTCCCCTGTTCTGTGTCGCCAAATCTCCACTGTGTATTGAAAGTACATGAACACAGAGTAAAAGGGAAATATCAACGTCTTTTAGGAACTTAAAGGTTTACATGTGATGTCCTCATTAGACTTCATGAAATGTTGCACATTTTCTGTTCAGCTTTGCTCCTGTTACCTTACAGTTTTTTGGGGGAAATCATTTGATGTCCTAGAGTTGCATGCAGAATAACACCTCCATTAAAATACTTGATATTTATTTTTATATAAACTGTATCTAACAAGGAAAAACCCGAATGTATTGTTGACTTTTGTAAGTCTGAATCATTTCAGTTTGTCTGGAATTAAACCATCGGACCAGCTGCTCACATCTCATGATTTTTCCTTTGCTGTGACTTGCAGGATTTTATCTCTTTGGAAATAAAATAAAAAAAGAACAGTGTTTAAAAATTGACTTATTTCTTTTGATTCCATTACAGAATGTAAACCTATAACACATTTTGATTCAAAATACATGTCTAAAGAGCAAGAATAGAATAATGTTAAGCTGTTTAGAGCCCAAAGTATTCACACCCATTTTGTTTTTTTATTGCATCTAATAAACTTTTGTTATTTATTTGAGGGCATTTGGGGGAAAATTAAAAGGATTACAGATATATATTTGCAAAACAATAATCAATTTGAAACACTTCAAAGGTATTTAATCATAAAAAAAGGCACATCACACAAATTAATTGTGGTTTTGGATTAAATTGAATTTTAATGCATACAAAAATTATATTTATCTGAAAATGAAGGGAGACAAAGTCACATCTAGAGGACACTGCATGAGCAGTCATAAAACCATGGGTAAAACACATCCAGTATGAGAGCAAAAGACAAAACAATCAATTATTCAATATTTTATAGCATTATGGCACCAAGAGAGATTCACATGGCAGAGATAAGTCACTATAGATACACGGAAAAATTAGTCTGGCAAAGAATGCAACATAAATCATAGCTACTTCATCACAGAAGTTCAAATTAAGTGTTTACAATTTATTGTTTAATTCATGTTCATACAGTATATACATCACTCAATCACTGTACATATGAGTTTATAACTCTTAATGTTTCACTATCACATTGTCATTACCTTTTCCAGATGAATAGAAACACAGATTAAAAAGCTTCAGGTAATAAAGCCACAGACTCAGAAGAGGGTGAAACAGCAAAAATCTAATTCTGTACATAATGTGGACTAACTGAAACCCTGAAAATATCTAGACACTGAGTTTGAATGGAAACGAGGTTTGTTCTCTGTAAACTGGGATGGATGTTCTACATCTAAGACATGGAGGTTGCAGCTCCTTTTCGGTTTCTATGTTGGAACAAACTCTGCTTTGACTCCTCAAATGACTTGGGTATTTTAAAGGGGCGGACTCTCTACCCGTAAAGGCAGCCTCAGAGCTGCTGACTGCTGTAACACCTGCAACTCTACTGAGGGGGTGGGGATGACCAGATCTGCGGAAAGCCTCTGTCACTTAAAACTGGCCAGGGAGTAGTTGGGGCATTGTTGGATGTGCAAAGCAAGCATCCTCTAGTGATTCACAGGTTAAAGTCTAGGCCTAACCCTCATTCTGGTTGCGGACTGGAGTTCCAGGAGAAAAAACTTGGCAGCTTGAAGAGTGAATCCCTGCGTCCTGGATCAGGCAGGGTCAAGGTCTCTGGAGCTGATTTTTTTCTTGGTCGCTCCTTTGGCACAGACAGAAAGTCCGGAGCTTCGGTGGAGAGGGGAGTTGTTGGTGCGCTGTTGGGGCCGCTGCGGGTGCTGGACGGCAGAGGCGTCTCTGAGATGGCAATGGATGGGGGGAAGGTGCCAATTTTCAGATTGGTAGCCTTCTGAGTGGTACGCTCATACTCCCTCACCTCCTCCATGGTCATATCTGGAATAACAGAGAAACTAACATGAACTCTGACTGGCATATAAGTCGCAGTTGAATGTAAGAGGCAAGCCAAGCACAATGCTAAAAAAAAAATAAACAGAACACTCAAATACTCCCTAGATCTGAATTAATTAAATATTGTCATTAAATACTTTGTTCTGTACAAAGTTGAATGTACTGACAACAAAATCACACAAAAATCATGAATGGAAACAAAATCTCTTAACCAATGGAGGCCTGGATTTAGAGTCACAAAATTAAAGTAGAAAAACAAACTACAGGCTGATTCAACTTTGATGTAATGTCCTTAACACAGCTCAAATTGAGGCTCAGTATTGTGAGTGGCATCCAAGTGCCTGTATTACCTCCCCAAAATGCCTGGGTATGCTCCTGATGAGGTGGTCTAATGAAGGATCTTCTCCAAGACCTAGACTAAAGCATCCGCCAACTCCTGGAAAGGAGTGGGACATTGGTGGATGGATGGAGCCATGATGTCCTAGATTTGTTCAATCGGATTCAGGTCTGGGGAACGGGAGTGCCAGTCCATAGCTTCAATCGCTTAATCTTGTAGGAAATGCTGACACACTCCAGCCTCATGAGGTGTAGCACTGTCCTGCATTAGGAGGAACCTAGGGACTCATATGTGCTCAGTGGGAACCTGCATTCATCTGTGAAGGCACATGGAGCCAGTGTTGAATTTGTGAATCCTGGTGTTCTCTAACAAATGAGGGTTGTTAGCACAACCCTCATCTGTGGACAATGGGCCCTCATACCATCCTCATGGAGTTTGTTTCTAACCATTTGTAGAGAAACATGCACATTTGTGGCCTGCTGGAGGTCCTTTTGCGGAGCCCGGGCAGTGCTCCTCCTGTTCCTCCATGCACAAAGGCAAAGGTAGCAGCCCTGCTGCAAGGTTGTTGCCCTTCTATGGTCTCCTTTACATCTCTTGGTGTAATGGCCTGTCTCCAAGTAGCGCCTCCAGCGTCTGGACACTATGCTGACAGACACAGCAAGCCTTCTTACCATAGCTCGCATTGATGTGCTATCCTGGATGAGCTGCACTACCTGAGCAACTTGTGTGGGTCACAGAGACTTTCTCATGCTACCACGAGTTTTAATGCACCACCAACATTAAAAAAATGACCAAAACATCAGCCAGAAAGCATAGGTACTGAGAAGTGGTCTGTTTCCCCACCTGCAGAACCACTCATTTATTGAGTGTATCTTGCTAAATGCCAATAATTTCAACCCTTTGTCTATTCCATTTGCGCTTCCTAAGTGGACAGTCTGATTTGATAGAAGCTATATTGTGTTGAGAAATGAAAAAAAAAAAAAAAAAATTAAACAAACCTGAGCAAATAAGATCTCTGTCAAATATGAAGACTAAACTGAGGTAAAAAAAAATTTCAGTTAAAACACCTTCTTCTTCTAGGTCTGTATGAAAGCACTAATAAAAACAATGACATTTAAAATATATAGATATATATTTTTATTGTCTTTTAATCAGACATTTGTTTTGTGTAATTAATGTTTCTTCAATAAAGGGAAGAAAACATTCAATTAAGTACCAGCAAATGTTATTTCAGTCATTTCAGTTGGTTACAGCAGTGATGGAAAGAGGAGCCCTTTTATTACAGAAAGAACAACAGATTTCACAAAATGTACCAGAGTTTTACTTCCAACCTAAATTCAATAAAAAAAAATTGATTGTGGGCATCTTGAGCTGGTTTTTCGAGTAAGAATTGGTAAATATGCAACAATATCTACACCAAAGTTTTGAACTCAATATTTCACACAATGCTGCCAAAGATGAACTCAATTGATGCATTCGGTTTCATTACAAATTTCAAGATGGTTAAATCTAAAACCAATCAGAACTTTCTTATTCTTCTGATCATCATCTTTAATAAACTTACCAATCCACTCATCCACCCAGGCAAAGGCCTGCCTGTGTCCTAGAAGAAGAACATCTCGTATCACCTGAGGAGAGTTAGAAAATAAGAGGGTGAAATCACAGCAGAACATGTGGAGGAGGCAATTCAAGGTGAGAGGATGTGAATCATACTGACTTAAAACCGGAAGGTGAAAGTCTGAAAACAAGTTAATGTTTCTGTTTCTCCACAGAAATAAATGATTAATATGAGTCACTCTGAGCGTTACCTTGTGAGTAAGGGCCGGATCTATCAAAGGTTTGCGTGTATAAAAACGTGAGCTATTTCACTGGGCACGCTAAAAAATGTACAAACTGATCTATCAACAGCGTGCTAAAAGGATTTGGTCTTTAAAATGTGCTAAATAGCGCCTCTTATCCATTTAGTACTTTTTCTGCAATGAATATGCAATATGGGGCGTTTACACGCTAAAGTGCGTCTTGTGGGAGGAGAACATGTAAATATATTAATTTAGCACTCGCAAAGAGATTCATCAAACCTGAAAGCAATTTTGCTAACGCTATCTGACTCTATATTTAACACGTTTCAAAAGAAGGTGCAATGGTCTGTATGCGTAATTGCGCACACATGGCAGCGGTTATTGTCGCAAGAAGGAGACATCGAAATGAAGCAAGGAGATGCAGAGAACGCATTTTTTCACTCCGTGTAAATATTTTTGGAATGAACGAGGAAACGATCATCAAAACATATCGTTTATCCAGCATTGCCATTTTGGAGCTGTTGGGGGAACTCCGAATGGATTTGGAGCCAGCCACAAGGAGGACCCACGCAATACCAGATATCACAAAATTCCTTGCAACATTGCACTTTTTTGCATTTGGGTCATTCCAGCGTACGGTTGCAGCGAGAGCTGGGATCTCCCAATCTCCTTTTTTCAGAAGTGCTGTCCGACGGGGTCGGGGTTCTCCCCCTGCGCCTGTGGAGCAACGTGCCAAATGCTGCGGGGATCTCATCCACAGTCACAGGCCAATACAAAACACCTGTTTTTTTTTTTTTTTACTGCAGCACATACCACCTTAGGGAATAAAGGTTGCCAATTTATATATATATATATATATATATATATATATATATATATATATATATATATATATATATATATATATATATATATATATATATATATATATATATATATATATATATATTTAATTTTTTAATTTTTTATTTTTTTTGTTGGGGGTCACTGTAAGATTTAAATTTCTTAATGCACTAGTAGTTTGTACAGACTACAAACTACTTTGCCACAAACCACAAAACGCGCAAAACCATCATTTAAATAGGGCGTCTCCAACAGTTTTGCACCTTCCACCAGTTACGCAATCACTCTTGTTAAATCACCCGCAAACCATGGTTCAACCCCTCGCGCAAAATTCCAGTTTGCGAGCGCAAATTACTGCACGCAAAATTGGATCTTGATAAATCCGGCCCTAAGTGCCCTGACTGTGTCTAAGGGCCGGATTTATCAAGATCCAATTTTGCGTGCAGTAATTTGCGCTCGCAAAGTGGAATTTTGCGCGAGGGGCTGAACCATGGTTTGCGGGTGATTTAACAAGAGCGATTGCGTAAC